TAGGGAATTAATAAATGTTTTTATAAAAAATTTGACACCCCCCAGTAGAGGACGATTGGGTGTTCTTCAAGGGAAGGGATGTGATGTGGATCTGCTTCTATTGTAAATCAACAAGCACAACTTCATCGGCCCAATTTTATTAAGCCCATTTTTTAAAATAACTTTGATTTTTTTTATTATAAAAAAATAGGGTTCCTGGACCAAACACCGCTTTCGTGAACGGCGGCATCTCTTTCTCTCTCTTCTGTCTGTCTCATGTCCGCTCTCTCTCTCTCTCTCAAGTATCTCTCTCTCACTTGGCGTACTTTCTTCTTGATCTGAGTTTCGACAATCTCAGGTGAAGCTCTCATCTCCTCTCAATAACTTAGCTTTCGTGACTGTCGGATCCAGATAGAATAGACGAGAACCAACGGAGACAGGAAGTCTACCAATCGTAAGGCAACTCGAGAACAAGGTGCGTTCCGATTCTGCCCATCTTTTTTAAAAAATTTAACTCACTAAAACTCTTAGACTACATGTTTTATTTAAAACAGAATATTTAAAATGTTGGATGAAAATAATGGGAAGAGGCTTGTTTGGTTGGGTATAAAGCTCCACCCCTTCCCTATATGGGATCCACTTGTTCCCTCTTCCAAATCTTTATATATAAAATCCAAGAGTCATGTACCCGTATTCTATTAATTTTAATTTATTAGTTTATAAATATATTTTAAAAATTTTATATTTTTTTGCAAACATAATAAATACATACATTCATTTACAGAAGAAATGTTTACTATATAATAACTAGATTTCATGTTCTTACACATACAATCTTGATCTCCTGTTCAAATTTATATCTTCAATTCGATTTTTCAAAATCCAAAGAGAAGAAAACAACATAAAACAAGAATCAAATCTAAAACTTATAGGCACAATAACTAATAAATTAAAATTAATGGAATACGGGTACATGACTCTTGGATTTTATATATAAAGATGTATGTGTTTATGTATATAATATAGATATAAATGACTAAAATATAACTATAATATATATTTACAAATATTTAGCTTCACCGAGTCATTAAACCTACTATCCTATATATGTCCACGTGATTGTTTTGGGGGTAAGATCATACAATTTGTGATGTGAAACTTGTAACGTTCAATCTTTTTAAGACATACGCTGATCCAATTTTAAAATGATTTATTGATAAAAAATAGGGTTTTTAACTCATATATATATATATACACACACACGCAATCATAGAAGATTGTACCTAATCGAATAAGATAAATAATAATCTAACATACATGTGGACACTCTAATAACATATATAAATATATTATGAATTAGACTAGAAAAAGTTTTTTTTAAGATACAAAAAATATATATTTATAGTTTTTTTATTAAGGTGAACTACCCAATTATTACAAGCCAACAATGTGACTTAACTTTCAACTATAACATTTTTTTACGACACTTATTTTTGGAACTTGAACATATATCTTTATAAAAATTTTATGCGACCCTCTCTAAATTTGAGAGGTTCGGTTAAAAAAACATCAAATACTTTCAAATTTTAAAACTAATAAATATAACAGATCTATCATAATTTAATCACATTTTATTTTTTTTTGTTTTTATTTTTAATTATTAACTGATTTTTTATTCAAAGTCTCTCTCTCTCATCTCCTCTCAATTATTCGATTTCGATTTTCATACTTGTTTGAAATGATTCTCATATCAGTTTTTATGTTGATTGCGGTCGGCTCTTCTGTTGTCTGAATTGATTCTCATATCAGTTTTTATGTTAAATTCGTGTAATCTGTTTATGTTAGAATTGAGTGTTGACTTGGGTTTTGGCTTTCTGAATCAGATTCGAAAAGGATAAGGTTTTGTGGGGGTTTCTGATTCTGTCTCTTTGAATGGAAGCTAATGTGATGCCGATGGTCCGGAGAATGGCTGCTTTTGCATTTGCTTCTGCCTCAGGTCTGCTTCAGACTCATCCCCTAAGAAGAGGTACTCTGAACAACTTCTTGCACTGTTCCTCTGTCTTAAGCTGTCGGAGATCGGCTTTTTCCGATGTTAGAGATCGCGGTATGTCATACAGAGATATATTGAGATGTGGGCTTCATGATTGTCATGCCGAGTATGCTGTTGATTTGTTCGATCAGATGGTTCAGTCTCGTCCCGTACCTTCCATCACCGATTTTACTAAACTATTGAGTGCAATCATGAAGATGAAACAGTATGATGTTGTCATTTTCCTCTGCAAGAAAATGGAATTGCTTGGGGTTTCACATGATATCTACTCTTTGAATGTTCTCATCAACTGTTTCTCCCACTCTCCTCAAGTGTTTTTGGGTTTATCTGTCGTGGGCAAAATCTTGAAACTCGGTTACAAGCCGAATGTAGTCACCTACACTACCCTAGCTCATGGTTTCTGTATCCACGGAAAGATTTCAGCGGCTTTAAGCTTGGTTGACCAAATGGTGGAAGAGGGATACAAACCTAATGTTGTAACATTTAGTACTTTGATCAACGGGCTTTGCCTAGAGGGTAGAGTTTCTGAAGCATTGAGTTTACTTGATCAGATGCAAAAGATGGACTGTCAGCCCGATGTAGTTACATTTGGCATTGTTATAAATGGGGCCTGTAAGGCAAGAGATCATGCGTTGGCTATGAATCTACTTGAGAAGATGGAAGAAATGCATATTGAGATCAATATCGTAATTTATAATACGATCATCGACTATCTTTGCAAAACCGGACACGTGGAGGGTGCACTGAACCTTTTCGGAAAGATGAGTAGTTGTGGGATTGTACCAAATGTAGTAACTTTTAATTCAATGATAAATGGTTACTGCAAGTCTAATAGAGTCGATAAGGGTATTAATCTCTTTTATGAGATGTCTCGAAGAGAATTGGTTGCTGATGCGATTACTTACAACATCCTCATCCAAGGGTTTTATCGAGTAGGCAACGTTGGTGCTGCCCAAAAGGTTTTCATGGAGATGCAGTATAAGGGTCATCGTCCTGATCTTGTGACTTACAACATTGTGCTTGATGGACTTTGTAAGAATGGAAAAACGGACATGGCACTTTGCCTATATAATAAGTTGGATAAGAATGGGATTGACCTCCATATACCTCTCCATAGTTGCATGATGCATGGTTTGTGCAAGGTTGGGAGGGTTGACGAAGCGTTGATATTATTTAATAAGCTTCTTGACAGAGGGGTGAAGCCGAATGTTATCATGTATAACATAATGATCTCCGGTCTTTGCGGGAAAGATTCACTCTATGAAGTCGAGAAGGTAATTGGGAAGATGAAAGAGGATGGTTGTTTTCCCGACGCTGGTACATATAACGCATTGATCAGGGGTCGTCTTAGAAGTCGCTTTCCATCGATGGTTATCGAGCTGATACGAGAAATGCGGATCAATGGCTTTTCTATGCATGCATCAACCTCAAATATGATAAGGGATATGGTATATGGAGGTATATTGGATAAGGGGGTTTTGGATCTCCTCTCTTAGTAGATGCAAGTACTAAACGGCTGATGAGAAGAGCCAACATCGCATGGTTGTATGTTTGATGAGAAGAGCCAGAAACTTCAAGCTATGAGGTAAATTATCTCTATGTTTCACTTTCTATGTTTTCAATATCATAAATCCTATATGCCTTTGTTTGTTTGTTTGGCCACAGTTTCACTTCCTCTGTTTTCAATGTCATGGAGCAGAGGCAGCGGCAAATGATGTATTGAGGTAAGAATAATGTCCCCTGGAAGTTCAGATGCTTTTTTACCCTCCTGTTTTTTGGGAAACTGCATAGGATTCTGATGAAAATGCCCATAAAGGCATGGTAAAATCAAAGGTGAGAGAGCACGCGTTAAATTTTGACTCACCATTTCTTCATCCATCTCATTTGCTACAGGAATCAATCTGATATACGGTGTTTGTTTAGCAATGGGCGTTCAATGGAAGCGGAGGCTGAAGCAAGAAGGGGCTGTCGAGAATCAGAATACGGCTTCTCCTGATGGACAGTTACTGAGATATCAGCCTCCAAGACCGAGAAGAAGCAAAATGGATGGGACAGAGCCAAACATATGGACAAGCTGACCGAACAGGTGGGTCTTCTCTGTTTCTGAGTTTTCAGTCAAACCCTAAATTTACAGTCTGCCTCATTGGGTTTTCTGCTTGGAGATCATTAGCTGTTTCGGTTTCCCTGACAAGCTCTGTAACGTGTGTTTTGTAGGGGAAAAGGGCTAAACATGGGTGCTAAACATGGGTGGAGGCCCAGAAGCTCCAGGGGGTCAATGGTGGATAATAAAAGGGAAGTTGGATAACTAAGCCTGATGCCGAGGAGGAGCTGCCGAGTGGATTTCCATGGTGGATAAATACTCAACTTCGATTTGATTAGGTTTTTGTTGGCCCGTGACCTGATCGTCTTTGGATTTGCGATTAAGCATGATTCTCGGCTTTTATGGGTTCAAATAAATGTAGCATTGGGTACACATTTGTTCATACACTTGTCTGGGATTGGATCCGACACTTGGGCGGTTGACACGTGGCGTTGTAGGGTCGCTTGTTCGTGATCTTGCTCTCTTGTTGGGAAAAAAATCAAAGGTGAGAGAGTCTGTGGTTTGTGTCTCATTTGTTACAAGAAGAAGAAGCAATGCAATCCGTGCGTCGAAAGAGGTCAGAATCTCTGATTTCCCCTATGTCCGAAAGAAACCAATCTCTGATATGCGTTTGTCGGCAACTAGAGATCATTAGCTGTTTGGGTGTTTTGTAATGTGTGTTTTGTAGCTTTCGGAGACGGGAAAAGGGCTAAACATGGGTGGAGGCCCAGAAGCTCCAGGGGGTCAATGGTGGATAATAAAAGGGAAGTTGGAGAAACACCTCGAGATAACTAAGCCTGTTGCCGAGTGGAACTAAATGAAAATGTCCAACTAAATGAATCGTAACTTAGATTTATTTAAATAAAAAAAGACTGATTTCATATGGTTATTAAACCAATATTATTGTGATAAAATATACATATCATACAAATATAACTTAATCTTAATTTTTATTTATTTGGAATAAAGTGACCAAAATTAAGTTTGTAAAAAAAATAATACAACGATTTACACTAAATGAGACCAATAAAAGACTCAAATGATTAGTATATATGTATGGTAATACTTAACTATAAAAATATTCAGTATATTTCAAATATGGTGTATGAAGTAGTTTCAATGTGGTTATTTTAATATTTACATTCTTTATCTAAAATGAATTTGACGAAAAGCGTAGAAACTGGTAAGAAATTTGATATGAGATCATGTGAATTGTCAGTTTTATTAGGTAGGGATAACATGATTATTACTGGGTTTTTGTTTTTAAAATTGTTTAGAAATTTATCGGTCGGGTTTTGAAATGCATATTCTAAGTGAAATATCAGTAGAATCTGATCATCAAAGTTCAGGTATAATTAATATCATTTTTTTGAAATCTTAACTCCTATGATGGATAATTTATATTAGATCTGTCACATATGAGAAACATCACCTATATCGCAGAACGAAAAACTTTAGAACGAATTGGGATGATAAAAACACTAACAAGCAAATTTAACAAAATACAGATAGAACTAAATGTTACGATTCAATTAAACGAACTCCAATTCAGATTTATTTAAAACAAAATTTTACCTATTTTATATGGTTGTTGAATCGATATTATTTAAAAAAAATACAAGTCACATAAATATAACATAATCTCAATTTTTTAATAAATATATTAACTAGATATCTATATAAAATTTAAATATTAATGAGATTGTATAGGTTTAGTATTATATCAATATTTATTTTAAAATATTTGTTAAATTAATATATGTTATTTGTTGATTTCTAACCCTAACCAAATTTATATTATTGTCTAAAAATGATATTTTTCATTAGTTGTAAATTTTTTTGCAAATATACTTTCGATGTTCACTTTTCAACTTTTGTTTCTATATAATACCCACGAAAAAAATATAAATACAGAAGTTATTTAACTCATTATCTGTCCAGGAGTTTAAAATTATTCATTTTTTGATTTATCAATATGATTTAAAAAATCAAAAATAAAAAAAATTATATTTAAAACTTTAAATTTAATATTAAAATTATTTAAAATTTATATGTATTTTTATATTACACAATATACACCAATTATTTAAAATTTGGGTCTGGTAAATATCGTTTTATTTGAGATCCAAACTCTTATCATGGATGACTAATAAAACGATGATAGATCTATTACATATGAGAAAGTAAGTCAACTCCATCATTATAAAATCGAATAGTTTATGATAGATCACGCTATGCGCGTGGATTATTACCTAGTATATATTAAAATATATTGATATATATATATATCGATATATTTAATTAAAAAATAGATTGAAAATATATATCACATGATATAATACTAATATTATAAAAGTAAAAAAGAGTGTGAGATGTGATGAAATATAGAAACACGTTTTATTAAGCCCATATTTTAAAATAACTTTGATTTTTTTTTTTTATAAAAAAAATAGGGTTCCTGGACCAAACACCGCTTTCGTGAACGGCGGCATCTCTCTCTCTCTCTTCTGTCTGTCTCATGTCCGCTCTCTCTCTCTCTCTCTCTCTCTCTCTCTCTCTCTCTCTCTCTCAAGTCTCTCTCTCTCTCTTGGCGTACTTTCTTCTTGATCTGAGTTTCGACATTCATCTCGGATTCGACAATCTCAGGTGAAGCTCTCATCTCCTCTCAATAACTTAGCTTTCGTGACTGTCGGATCCAGATAGACGAGAACCAACGGAGACAGGAAGTCTATCAATCGTAAGGCAACGCAAGAACAAGGTGCGTTCCGATTCTGCCCATCTTTTTCTTGCTCGAGATCGGACGGTGGTCGGAAACCGGCCATTAGAGCCGGAAGCCCAGATGCCGCAGCTCTATTATATGCCTGAAGTTTGTTAAATTCCCATCTCATAACATATCGGAACTTATCAATTAAGAAAACTTGAATTTTTTTTTGGCAAATAAAACCCCACCTGAATCTTAACCAAAAAAAGAATAAGAAAAACAAAAAATAAAAATAAAAACTTAAAAATTATAACATTGGTAGGAGCATTAATTTCTGAAAGTATTTATTAAAATAAAACAAGTCACTGAAGTGACCGTGACCGGGATTTGATAATCTTCCCTTGGCTCCGCCGTAACGGTGACGGCGGCGGATTTCTCCTCCTCGTGGATAAATACATGCATATATTAATTCACTAATATTTAAATAAAATTTATTATTATATAAAAATTAAAAATTTTGAGACCCCTTGAGGGGACGATTGGGTGTTCTTGATGTGGATCTGATGGCTTCTATTTCTTTTTTAACAACGGGCCCATTAAAAAAGAAATGTTCGGCCCATTACAAAACATTGTAACGATTAATCTTATTAAGCCCAATTTTAGAATATTTTATTGATTAAAAACCAAAATAGGGTTTCTGAAAAACCGCTTTCGTGTCTCTGTCTCTCTGTCTCTCTCTCTTTCGTGTCTCTGTGTACTTCTCCTCAGCCGCTTAGATAGATAGATTTTATGACGTCATATTTATTTGTTTTTTTAAAATCTGCTACTCATCTCTCTCTCACTTCTTCTTCATCTGAGTTTCGATACTCTTCTGTCAGAATCTCAGATTCGACAATCTCAGGTGAAGCTCTCAACGATTTAGCTTTCTTTGACGGATCCCTAATCTCAATTTTAAAATAATTTATTGATTAAAATCAAGTTCTAAACATACAAAATAGGGTTTCTGAAAATAGGATCCTTGCCGTAATCTGACGATTTTCTCATCATCCAGGTAGACGGGAGCCGACGGAGACAGCAACTCATCCAATCGTAAGAACAAGGTGCGTTCCCATTCTGATAAACCAATTATTATTATTATTATTATTTGTTATCTTTAAAATTTGTTTTTTTTTTGGGGTAAGATGATACAATTTGTGATGTGAATCTGGTTATTATTATTATTATTATTTGATTTATAGTTCATATCTTTAAAATTCTAATGTTTAGTCTAACCTAAATAATTTTATAGATGGTAATACTTATGGGTGGTGTTTTTAAAAGTTTAATTAACATAATGATTTTTAAAATATGAGCTATGATGAAAATGGTTTTCTTATAGGTATGTATATATATATATATATATATATATATGTCGTACGATTTCTTAATATTTAAAATGTTGGATGAAATTGGGTTAAAAATAAAAATTTAGACATGGTTTCGATATTAAAAATAAGCTCAAGGTACAATGGGAAATTAAATATTCCAGCCTGTAAAGTTGGGACTTAGGGACCATGTGAAGAAGAGGACAGAGACGTTATATATATATTTATATATATATATTTATTTTCTCTTCTTTTTTCGGGTATTGAAATAATTTGCCTGAAACAATAATTGAATAACAAAATACTTGGCTATTCAAAAAAAAATTCATCACAATCCATTTATATCTCGCACATATAAGGAAGTGGTGGAGCGTGAGAGGCACGTGCATGGTGCAGGGGATAATAATGGGAAGAGGCTTGTTTGGTTGGGTATAAAGCTCCACCCCTTCCCTATATGGGATCCACTTGTTCCCTCTTCCAAACACGCCTTCTTTATTTGATTTATAGTTAAATGCCGAGAAAAATATATATACTAATTCATTGGGGAGAAAACTCGAGGGTCTTTTCGTAATTTAGCACTCATCTCTCTCTCTCTCTCTCTCTCTGTGGATATGATCATAGATCGTCACTCGGCCTACTTTCTTTTTAATCTCAGAGGCCCAAACACGCAACCAACGGAGACAGGAAATCAATCATCTTAAGAACAAGGTGCGTACTAAATGATTTTATACATTTATAATGCATATATATATATATATGCCTGAAGTTTGTTAAATTCCCATCTCATAATATACACACACACATTTCTTATTTTAAAAAAACAAAACCATAAACGTACATTGGGTTCTCTTGAAAGACATATATTGGGCCGTGGCAGCATTTTATTGGGCCTATAAGTTTTAGATTTGATTCTTGTTTTATGTTGTTTTCTTCTCTTTGGATTTTGAAAAATCGAATTGAAGATATAAATTTGAACAGGAGATCAAGATTGTATGTGTAAGAACATGAAATCTAGTTATTATATAGTAAACCTTTCTTCTGTAAATGAATGTATGTATTTATTATGTTTGCAAAAAAATATAAAATTTTTAAAATATATTTATAAAACTAATAAATTAAAATTAATGGAATACGGGTACATGACTCTTGGGGTTTTATATATAAAGATGTATGTGTTTATGTATATAATATAGATATAAATGACTAAAATATAACTATAATATATATTTACAAAGATTTAGCTTCACCGACTCATTAAACCTACTATCCTATATATGTCCACGTAATTGTTTTGGGGTAATATCATACAATATGTGATGTGAAACTTGTAACGTTCAATCTTTTTAAGATATATGTAGACCAATTTTAAAATGATTTATTGATAAAAAAAAAATAGGGTTTCTAACTCATATATATATATATGCACACACACAATCATAGAAGATTGTAAATATATGTAAATATATTATGAATTAGACTAGAAAAAAATATTTTAAGATACAAAAAATATAGGGAAAATTCCAAAAAAACTACCGAATTTTGAGATAGCTAACATATTAATACCGAATTTTTCAAATTTCTAAACTAAAAATGAACTCGTCGATTTTCACAAAAAAATACTGAACTTATAGATTTTTGACAAAAACCTGATTTACGATTTTTAACACCGTGTAATGTTGATGAAATTTTTGTCAAAGATTTACAAGTTTAGTGTTTTTCTATGTCAAAATCGACGAATTCATATTTAATTTAAAAGTTTGAACAAGTTCAGTATTAATATATCAGTTATCTTCAAGGTCGGTATTTTTTTGGAATTTTCCCAAAAATATATGTGTATAATTTTTTTATTAAGGTGGTGAGCTATCCAATAATTACAAGCCAACAACTCCTCAAATGTAACTTATTTATCCTATATATGTATGTGTTAATGTATATACTATAGATATAAACCTACTATCCTATATATGTCCACGTGATTGTTTTGGGGGTAAGATCATACAATTTGTGATGTGAAACTTGTAACGTTCAATCTTTTTAAGACATACGCTGATCCAATTTTAAAATGATTTATTGATAAAAAAATAGGGTTTCTAACTCATATATATATACACACACACACACACAATCATAGAAGATTGTACCTAATCGAATAAGATAAATAATAATCTAACATACATGTGGACACTCTAATAACATATATAAATATATTATGAATTAGACTAGAAAAAGTTTTTTTTAAGATACAAAAAATATATATTTATAGTTTTTTTATTAAGGTGGTGAACTACCCAATTATTACAAGCCAACAATGTGACTTAACTTTCAACTATAACATTTTTTTACGACACTTATTTTTGGAACTTGAACATATATCTTTATAAAAATTTTATGCGACCCTCTCTAAATTTGAGAGGTTCGGTTAAAAAAACATCAAATACTTTCAAATTTTAAAACTAATAAATATAACAGATCTATCATAATTTAATCACATTTAATTTTTTGTTTTTATTTTTAATTATTAACTGATTTTTTATTCAAAGTCTCTCTCTCACCTCCTCTCAATTATTCGATTTCGATTTTCATACTTGTTTGAAATGATTCTCATATCAGTTTTTATGTTGATTGCGGTCGGCTCTTCTCTTGTCTGAATTGATTCTCATATCAATTTTTATGTTAAATTCGTGTAATCTGTTTATGTCTGAATTGAGTGTTGACTTGGGTTTTGGCTTTCTGAATCATATTTGAAAAGGATAAGGTTTTGTGAGGGTTTCTGATTCTATCTCTTTGAATGGAAGCTAATGTGATGCCGATGGTCCGGAGAATGGCTGCTTTTGCATTTGCTTCTGCCTCAGGTCTGCTTCAGACTCATTCCCTAAGAAGAGGTACTCTGAACAACTTCTTTCACTGTTCCTCTGTCTTAAGCTGTCGGAGATCGGCTTTTTCCGATGTTAGAGATCGTAATATGTCATACAGAGATATATTGAGATGTGGGCTTCATGATTGTCATGCCGAGTATGCTGTTGATTTGTTCGATCAGATGGTTCAGTCTCGTCCCGTACCTTCCATCACCGATTTTACTAAACTATTGAGTGCAATCATGAAGATGAAACGGTATGATGTTGTCATTTTCCTCTGCAAGAAAATGGAATTGCTTGGGGTTTCACATGATATCTACTCTTTGAATGTTCTCATCAACTGTTTCTCCCACTCTCAAGTGTTTTTGGGTTTATCTGTCGTGGGCAAAATCTTGAAACTCGGTTACAAGCCGAATGTAGTCACCTACACTACCCTAGCTCATGGTTTCTGTATCCATGGAAAGATTTCAGCGGCTTTAAGCTTGGTTGACCAAATGGTGGAAGAGGGATACAAACCTAATGTTGTAACATTTAGTACTTTGATCAACGGGCTTTGCCTAGAGGGTAGAGTTTCTGAAGCATTGAGTTTATTTGATCAGATGCTAAAGATGGATTGTCAGCCCAATGTAGTTACATTTGGCATTCTTATAAACGGGATCTGTAAGGCAAGATATTATGCATTGGCCATGAATCTACTCGAGAAGATGGAGGAAATGCATATTGAGATCAATATCGTAATTTATAATACGATCATCGATTATCTATGCAAAGCTGGACACGTGGATGGTGCATTGAACCTTTTCGGAAAGATGGATAGTTGTGGGATTGTACCAGATGTAGTAACTTTTAATTCTATGATAAATGGTTACTGCAAGGCTAATAGGGTCGATGAGGGTATTAATCTCTTTTATGAGATGTCTCGAAGAGGATTGGTTGCTGATGTAGTTACTTACAACATCCTCATCCAAGGGTTTTACCGAATTGGCAATCTTGATGTTGCCCAAAAGGTTTTCATGGAGATGCAATATAAGGGTCATCGTCCTGATCTTGTGACTTACATCATTTTGCTTGATGGACTCTGTAAGAATGGAAAAACATACAAGGCACTTTGCCTTTATAGTAAGTTGGATAAGAGTGGGAATGACCTCCATATATCTCTTCATAGTTGCATGATGCATGGTTTGTGCAAGGTTGGGAGGGTTGACGAAGCGTTGATATTATTTAATAAGCTTCTTGACAGAGGGGTGAAGCCGAATGTTATCATGTATAACATAATGATATCCGGACTTTGCGGGAAAGATTCACTCTATGAAGCCGAGAAGGTAATTGGGAAGATGAAAGAGGATGGTTGTTTTCCCGACGCTGGTATGTACAACGCATTGATCAGGGGTCGTCTTAGAAGTCGCTTTCCATCGATGGTTATCGAGCTGATACGAGAAATGCGGAGCAATGGCTTTTCTATGCATGCATCAACCTCAAATATGATAAGGGATATGGTATATGGAGGTATATTGGATAAGGGGGTTTTGGATCTCCTCTCTTAGTAGATGTAAGTACTAAACGGTTGATGAGAAGAGCCAACATCGCATGGTTGTATGTTTGATGCGAAGAGCCAGAAACTTCAAGCTATCCAGGTAAATTATCTCTATGTTTCACTTCCTCTGTTTTCAATATCATAAATCCTGTGTCTTTTTTTGTTTGTTTGTTTGGGCACAGTTTTACTTCCTCTGTTTTCAATGTCATAAATCCTGTATGCCTTTGTTTGTTTGTTTGGGCATTGTTTCAGCAGTGGCAATCCCCCTGGAAAACATGGGTCGACCGACACAGGCCTTGAAACATATTTGGCATCTGCAGAGAGAGTGTCTCAAGCCCTGAAACCGAACCTGGACTACTCGGTGGTAAGAGAATTCGAGACAGTCTGGCTTCATTTGACATATGCAGTTTCTTCATCCATCTCATTTGTAATATGTCGATAAAGGCATGGTAAAATCAAAGGTGAGAGAGTACGCGGTAAATTTTGACTCACCATTTCTTCATCCATCTCATTTGCTACAGGAATCAATCTGATATACGGTGTTTGTTTAGCAATGGGCGTTCAATGGAAGCGGAGGCTGAAGCAAGAAGGGGCTGTCGAGAATCAGAATACGGCTTCTCCTGATGGACAGTTACTGAGATATCAGCCTCCAAGACCGAGAAGAAGCAAAATGGATGGGACAGAGCCAAACGTATGGACAAGCTGATCGAACAGGTGGGTCTTCTCTGTTTCGAGTTTTCAGTCAAACCCTAAATTTACAGCCTGCCTCATTGGGTTTTCTGCTTGGATCTGTTTTTTTTTTTCCTTTTGTCATTCAGGCAAGAGCCATGATCCTTGGGTGTTCCAAGTGTTTTGGTGTAAGAACACTTCTGCCCCTGGAGCTTCGATCCACTCCGAAGCATGATTTCAGATGCCTTTTCATGACAAATCATTCCCCTCTTGTTGGGAAAAAAATCAAAGGTGAGAGAGTCTGTGGTTTGTGTCTCATTTGTTACAAAAAGAAGAAGCAATGCAATCCGTGCGCCGAAAGAGGTCAGAATCTCTGATCCCGCTTCCGATCTCTGATATACGTTTGTCGGCAACTGGAAATCATTAGCTGTTTGGGTTTCCCTGACAAGCTCTGCAATGTGTGTTTCGTAGCTTTCGGAGACGGCCTAAACATGGGTGAAGGCCCAGAAGCTCCAAGGGGTCAATGGTGGATAATAAAAGGGAAGTTGGATAACTAAGCCTGATGCCGAGGAGGAGCTGCCGAGTGGATTTCACATTTGTTCATACACTTGTCTGGGATTAGATCCGACACTTGGGCGGTTGACACGTGGCGTTGTAGGGTCCTTGTTCGTGATCTTACTGAAATCATCTGCATATATGTACAAGCATATTATCGCAGAACAAGCAAAGATACAGCTTTAGTTCCACTCTTTCTCTACATATTTACCAACCCACCGTTTCATTATAGGTTTAATGCAAAGGGATAACACTTGGGCACTTGACACGTGCCTCTTCTTACATGATTCCATGGTTCGAAAAATTGAGACATGTGATCTGCGTTTAGGTGCTACATGTATAAATAAATTAAACAAATGTATTTACATATTCAGTAAATACATTTATTTTTATTTATTTTTTGCATATAATCCACATGTCATTTTGTTTGTTTTTTTAATTGTTTTTTTAAATGTGGATTTCCAAATAATATTTGGGCCCAGGCCCATCAAATCTGAACGCATACCAAAATTATTCCACGCGACACTTTTTCCGATTTCACCAGAAATAGCCAAAATAAATGGACTATAGTCCAGAGATTTGAGGGCGGTGGTGTCCACGCGTTACTTGTGCGAGTGAGAGTTTGTTTGAGGCATTGTTGGATTCATCCAAGACGATGAAAAGCCCACCTCAGGCCTACGTAAGACATTTAAAAGGCCTATTAGAAGCCCACGAAGCTCCGTAATGAGCCCAACTACAAACCCATTTACTCGATTTAAAAACGATGACGAGACGACCATTACTCAAAAAAATTTGTTACTTGTTTTATGGAATTAAAACAATGGAAATCCGAAAAATTTCAACATCTCTCCTAATAATCGCTATATTATCGCCACGATAAGAATAAAATTAATAAATAATAAATAAATTAATAATAATAAATCAATAAAATAAAAAATAAAATAATTATATAATAAAAATATACACATGCATATACACATACACATATACATACATATATAGATATACATATACACGTATATATATATACATATAAACACATACACATAAATTTACATATAAACGCATACACATCATTACATATATATACATCTATATATATGCATATATACACATACAAACATATAAATATATATATATACACATATATACATACACATACATACATACATCTATATATATACACATATATATATATATATATATATGCATATATATACATATGCATACATATATACACTCATATATAATATATGCATATATATACATATATACGTGCATATAAACATATATATATATCAATACATATATATATATATATATGCATACATATATATAAACACATACATATATAAATATATATACACATAAATACATATATATGTGTATATATATATATATGTGCGTATGTGTATAGGCTCAATCTCAGTTGGCGCAATTTAGCAATCAACTTCAAGGCCTGAACAATTCTCTCCATGATTCAGCTTTGCCGATAACTCAACCCAACTCACCAGGTAAGGTAAGCGTACTTCTTCACCACTGATTTCTTTTCATCTTCATCTCCTTGTCCACATTTCCCATCCTCTTTCTGATTCTAAAGCGAGTAATCACGTCTGTTGTGATCTATCATTGTTCTCTGAACTTCGTGTAATACCCACTATATATATATATATATGTTACTTTATCTCATGGCTCACTCATTTTTGCAATCTGGTGCAGTACAATCACCGCAAGTGTACGGATCAATTGTTATATCTAGAATCGAACACAGGGAGTTAGAGACACATGTGGTTTAACGACAACAATTACGATCACTACTCGGCTTCGGTCGAAGGCGATAATGATGATAGTGGTGATGATAACTGAATGTGAACACGGATTAACACAAATATAAACAAAGACTTAACACAATTCTATAAAACATTGTAAGTGTCGGGATTTACGGGAGAGAGATTACTCTCTTGTCTCCCACCTCACTTCCTAAGTGTATGGCCCTACAAAAACGAAAATTACAAATCGACCCTAGGGTTTAGGTTATGTCGGATTTTAACCGTTGGATTCTCCGACGCAGCCTTCTCCGGTTATCATGAATTTTCCAGAGGCCGTGACCCAATATGACTGCTGAGTATATGCCGTGCGTCATGATCGGTGCTAAAATATTATCCGTCTGAAATGTAAAAAAGGAAAGAAGGTAAAAATTAATAATATTTACTTCTTTTTTTTTTTTCTTACTTACCGTCACTAAAAATAAATAAATAAATATTTGTGAGTGAACCGAATTAAAATTAACCGAACTGAATTATTTTATATAGAATAACCAATTTGGTTAATAATCGATTCAAACTAAATAATATGTAACCGGAGAAACAAATTTGATAATAAAAATCAAATTACTATAAATATTCTTCTAAAAGAAAAATCGAAACAAATCAAACCAAATAAAAAAATAATTGAAAATTTGAAAATTTGTCTAAAAAATAAATATTTTAATCAATAAAAAGCAAAACCAAACCAAACCATACGAATACTATATAAAAACTGAATAGTTATAATTGTTCTAAAACCGAAATAACCAAGCCAAACCCGAAATAGCATCCTCTTATGTGATACCAAACTGAAACGGAGAAATTTTACCTGAATCCATTCGAGGCCGAGGTAGAGGCCGAGGAGACCTTCGAGGAGGGGAGAGTAAATCTTCTTCATCTGTCTCTTCTCGTACCAAGCTGAATAAGTACAAAAGAGTTCATAAACCGGAGAAGAAAATGTGGAAACCGAACCAGTTTCCTCTTTACAAATTCGGTTTACTGAGCTCTCCTCTAGTTTTATAACTTATAAGTCATGCATGAAGTATATACTCAATTTAACTCAGAATGGTTTTGAACACAGACATAAAACCAAGAACATGGCATTAAAAGATCCATCAAAGAAGCTCTTCAGATGCATCAAATGCCAAGAAAGAAAGAAAGAACCTGACAAAAGTTTCTTCAACTCGCCACGACCAGACCGAGATCTTAACACAGGTGCCACAATGTATGTTGGGTCTGAAAATTCAAGACAAACAGGAATGAGAATAAGACAACATTTCATTCCACTAAAAAGTCTACAGAAGATCAAGAACAGAATCTCCAAACCTTTGGGGGAAGCGGCGATGTAGTACAGAGATCCCGTAAGAGTGGCGGTGATTACAGCAGCAAACGCTTGAGCAAATGGGACGAATGGAGGCAGGACTCCAGTCTTTAAGGCATATATATATGAACAAGCTGTTAACTCCTATGTTTTCTCCAGTTGTATCTATATATAAACCAAAATCAATCACTGAAAGTTTTTTTTTTTTTACCAGAGATGCAATGCCTCGAGAATCTGATATCATCTGTGTTCCTCTCAAGAACATATCAGCCAGAGCGCCCTGAGAAAATAGTTAAGGGGAATCCCAAGCAAAACCACATGAATGAATTGTCATGTATACGATACGATTTCTCACCATTCCACAATCACTGAAGTTTAAGAACATACCTGGACAGCGGCACGGTAGAAGAGCTCTTCTCCTACTGAACTGGCCGCAACAATGAACATAAACTGAAAAACCACACATGAAATTTCAGATAAAAGATGAGATCTTTTCGGTTCTCAACAAAGACAAGGGCGAAATCTATTAAGAGGGCATAGACATATGGGATATGATTAAGTAGTTTTGGTTTTGTTTTTTATCACCTGCCATGGCGACATCCCGCAGAAGAAGCTCCTCAGTTCCTCGTCTTCCACATCTCTGATGGCCCGAGCATGAGGCGACAATTTCACAACTTCATCCTACATACATACATACATACATAAACAAATGTAAGATATTCGTACACAAAACTTGTCCGATACGCTCAAACGCAGATGCAGAATCTGATGTACCGATCGCCACACAGTAACCCGAGACAGCACAAGCAAGCAGAAGAACTAGGGTTTGTTTCTTGGAGCCTAAGAAAACCGAGAATTTCGAGAGACTTACATCGAGTATGAACAGTAGGGCCATGATAGGTGGTGCTGCGTAGCCAAGTCCAGAGAGAACCGCGTCTAGAGAAGGATCAAAACCGCCGGAAGAGTCGATTCCGGTCATCGAACATAAGAACCTCCCCGTTAGAGCCATTGCTCCATATATTCCTGATGATAATCCCCAGGTTTAGCTCAATGAGGATCGAAATTAAGCATCCAATTGAGCTTGGAAATTCGAACCTTTTGAAATTCAAAAGCATTTCAGGACAGAAACGGTGGTGGGAGTTCAAATTGATAATTTACAAAATTACCGACCGATTCCGTAGGCGAGGCGAACGATGGCGCCGATTTTGTCCCATACGGGCAAATCTACAGCGGCGGAGCCACCGAAACTACGATCGAGCGTGGTGACCTCCATCGTCGGACCGGCGAATCCTCCTCCGCCGTCTCTCTTCTCTATCCCGGCGGAGGCTGTGAAGCCCCGGGAAGCCTTTCTCTCTCCGCAGTTGAAACTCCCTCTCCAAATCCGTGTCCTCACTGGAAAATTGCAGAGCTTACTACTACTAGAAGGAGAAGAAGAAACAGAGCTCAAGCCTGTGCTGATACGGCAAAACGACGCCATGTCCAAGATTTTCCGGCGAATCTCAGTCGTATCCTCCGGCGAGCGAGATATCGGTGTTTCTCGTTTTCTTCATTTCTTCTTCCTCGTCTCCGGCAATGGAGAACAAATGGCCATGCGTTCTGTCTCGAGTTTTTTTTATAGGAGAGAGATGAGGCTTTGTGAACCGTTCGATTCAAATCGGACGGTGTATAGTTACCCACTCGAGATGAGGATATCCGTGCTACCACTTAAAACATGACACGTGTAGATAACATTGGCGGGCTCCCTTTTTTTTTCTTTCTGTGGGCAATTTAATTACTAACGGCCCTGCAACTTTATTTAGTCAAATTATTCACGAATATAATATTTTCTGTGACTATAGTATGAGAAAGTTTTTTAAAAAAAATATTACCAAAATACTTTATTTTATATGGAAATAATTAAAAAAAAAGTCCAAATAAATTTTTGAACAGTATGATATTCTGATTACTCGGATTAATCAGAATAAAACTGTTTAATAAATTTCTTAAAAAAATTAAGAACTGCTGGAGACATTTAATAATAATAATATATTGAATTATTTTGACCCTCAGATTCAAGATTTATTATATATAACTTGGTTTGGACGAATATATAACTGGATTTTCCTAACATTATCTATATTATTTTATATTCATGAAAAAAAATTATGGCCTAATTACCCAATGTAAAATTATTTGCCCATTGGGCCTAACAATCACAAATTATTTTTCAATGTGTTCAATTTAGCAATTTGTTGGGCTAGAAATCATTTTAAACTATGCCTAATTTCAAATAATGATGGGCTCACAACGTTTTTTTGTGGCTATTCCTCTCTAACATTTCAGAACAAGCCTTTGCATATCCTCTAACGTGGATTAATCCTCTTTCCGTTATTTCGATTTTAGAAAAACTATAACCGTTCATTTTTTACTTTAAATTTGGTTCGATTTGGTTACATTCGATTTAAATTCGGTTCGATTATTATAAAAAAAAAAAATATTACAGTTTTTATGTTATTTTTTTATTCCATTCGATTTTTGGATTATTTTTTTATTTGATTAGGTTTAGTTTCGGATTCAATTTTTCGGTTTAAAAAAAATCATAACCATTCGATTTCATATCTAATTCTCAAGATTCAATTTTTTTTATTTAACAAAAAATAAAACCATTCGGTTTTATATCTAATTCGGTTCGATTACAATTATTAAATTCAGATCGGTTCGGTTATTAACCAAATAAACCACCCCTAATATCCATATTCCCATTCAATTCTAACATCAAATTATAGCAATGTGCAAAGAAACAACAAAAAAAAATCAAAAAGCTGCTTCTCCTCTGGTGTATGAAATGAAATATTATAATATCATAAGATAATTTCTTATCCAAATTGTAAATGTTTTACATATTTCACAATGCCCAAAAGAGACAAAGGGACAGAGTACAAAAGAATCAACCAACAAAAGGTGAAGCCTTTTACCTATGAATCTCTTTATAAGAAAAAAAAAAACATGTTTCTAATCTTGTCTTGTTCTACAGCTCCTTTCTTGTCTTACAGCTCCTAGGATTTGCTCTTCCCATAATACAGACACTATCAGATTATGTTATTCAACATACACATACCAGAAAGCTAGAAGAAGAAGATGATCACCCTCCCCTCCTAGCGATCTCTCCATCTTGGACTTGAGATTGGGAAAAACCCGGATGGCGATAACGGGAACATGAGACCCGGAGATGGAGGAGGTTGAGGGCCCGGCCCCGGGCCAAGAACTCCGGGCTGACCCATAGGCGAAAACATGAAGGTTGGTGTCAGTGGTGGAGGATATTGAACTCCAGGCGACAGTAATGGGTAAGGTGATCTTGGGGAGAAAAGGCTCGGGTAAGCGGTGGGAGAGGGCAGAAGGAACTGGGAAGTCGGGGATGGTAGTAGCCCGGGACCGTTGAATTGAGGAGAAGGAAGACCGTGCATCGGTTGGGGAGGACCATTAAACCGGGGAGAGGGCAAAGCAGGCATGACTGGCACAGGTCCATTAAACCGCGGGGAAGGAAGATTGGGTGGCATTGGTTGAGCCGGCATGGCTGGGTAAGGAACTGATCCAAACTGTGGTGGATGCATCTGAGATTGACCCGGCGCATGGTGCTGAAGTTGAGGATGACCCGTTTGACCCGGTGGTTGGGATTGAGCCGGCATACCCGGTTGCACATGGTTTCCATTGGGTCCAGATTCAGCAAGAGAACTTTGAAGATAACGCATATACACCGAAACAGGAGACTCAGCTGTATTAGACCAAGCCGGATCCCCATGACCCATCATCGGTTGCATAGCTTGTGGCAATGGCTGAGCATAAGGCTGAGGCGGGGGCCTAAATTGAGCAGGTGGTAGTGGAGCCATAGCAGCCGGGGAAGGAACCGGAGGTCTGTTAAACTGAGTCAGAGGTGCCGGTCTTATCTTCTGCAACCGAGTATTCTGAGGCTTTAGTGGGTTCTGAGGAGGCTGAGGGAGGCTCTCACGTGATGGAGAACCCGTTAGCTGCTGAACTATACTCCTAAAGTCGTTCTTGCTAATGTTATAAACCTGAGGCTGTGGCTGAGGCCTCACAGCATTACCGTTACCGAAATTCGGTTGGTGCAAAGGACTCTTCCTAATGTTCTTCCCAATCTTATTCACACCCAAATGGTCACTTTGCCTGGGTCTCGAATGATCCATCAGGGGAAATCTCAGTACCCTAATCCAAGATTCCAAGTCCTAATTCTCAAAGATCCAAAGCTCAAGCTTCAAAGCCCAACCGATGAACAGCACCTATATATATAGCCGATCAATATACCAAAATCCAGCTAAAATCCTCTCTCTCAGAGCTAAAATGCTACACCTGACATTAGTGAACTCAACCTGTAAACCAATATCCAAGCAAATCACTAGCTTTCCATCACAAAAGGCAAGAACCCACGAGAGTGATCGATACGGATCCAGACTCCAACTCAGAAACCTGAAATCATCCATAAATCGCACAAAGATTTCAGTAGAAATCCCCCGACTCGTAAGCTCGGAAGCAATATCTCGAACTGCGGAGCAAACTTATCTTCAAATTGAGCTAAAACCCACGATACTACACTAAGAAATCCGATCAAAGAGCACCAGAAAATACTATGGTTTCACGAGTTCGACCAAAGCATAATCAATGGCAGACGAGCGGAAAAAAATACGAGACGAAAAAGTAAAAGAGCTGAAAAAGTCCACGCCTCTCACCAGAGAGAAAAACGAATCTAAGCAGACCCAGAAGGGCGAGATACCTCAATTCCGCTCCAGATCTCTCAGCCCGAGCTACACGA